ATATAGTGTGATTATATAATAACAACAAACCCATACATGCATTAAATTAATTAAATTATATTTAGTTACTCGTTTTCATTGCAATTGTTAACCTGATATTTCCGACATTTGATATTAATTTTATAAATAATATTATTAAAGAAATAATACTGTTAACGTACAAAACAAGGTTCACACATCTATGCTATACGTTAACTACAATTCTGGTGATGCTCAAAGAATAGATTAACATTATCTACACTGTAGATTCTACTGATTTAATATGAGTCCTACAGACTTAGACATTACCCATTGATTTAGCATTAGTATCATAGGATTAGCATTACCCATAGACTTAACATTAATCTCATAGGATTGGCATAACCATAGACTTAGCATGGCCTATGTCATAGACTGTATGATTTATGTCACAAGCTGTAATCCCATAGACCCCATTGAAATTTTCCCCATCGGATTAACATTACCCATAGAATAACATTAGCCCCATGTTAAAGTATAACCATAAACTAAAGGGTCTCATATTAAATCCCATAGAGAAATGGACCGGGAGGAAAATTGGGGAGAGTGCCGACCGATTCTATAAGCCGCATTATTCATATATGAATTGTGGTTACAAATGTATAAATATAACAAAAGCATACTTTGGCAAACATCTTTTGAAAAATATAAAACTTGATATCTATCACAACTATCACATAACGTAGGTTTTTATATGTAATAATTTATTACCGGTAGTAGTAATTTTATGTACTCTTGTATTGGGATTTTATCATTGTTTGAGATAAAAATGGAGGCATATTATAAAATTTGTTAATTATTAGTTTAATGATTTCCACTATTCCATAGTTTTAAATGCTTTAGAAAAAAGTTCAATCTTAAATTAAGCAAGTTTTAAAATACGCCCCCATTTTTATCCAATGCATTAATAGAAGCCCAGAATATGATAATCATAATTTATATATTGGACCACAACTGGACTTATTTATAAATTAAAAAGTACCACAAATAATTATAAGTAATATTTAATTTAAAAATTCATTCATTATAGTTTAATATTTATCCGTTAAAATCCGGTTAAAATAATATTGTTTATAAAATTAATTATGAAGTTTTTATATTTGTTATGCAAAGCATAAAATCGTTTCTCTGAATTAATTAATAGATCAAAATGTTATGATTTAAAAATATAAACAAAATGATTGCCCCAGGTGAGGATCGAACTCACGACCTTAAGATTATGAGACTTACGCGCTGCCTACTGCGCTACCGAGGCTGCATAAAGGTTATATACTTTATAATAAACTTGGTCTTACAGCGAATAAATCCAAATGTCATTTTAGGAACATTTAATTTAAATCCATTTATATGAACCTAAATTGTTTTAAAACAATTGTGTGTTAATAAATGCTTATATACATGTTTGTATATACAGTATATTGATTTTATTATAATTCTTCTAACAATAAAATATTTTATGATTTTCATAAATAACAACTATGTTTATTACTTTATTTTCGATAGAGTACTGTATATGAATTTTAACTATTTTTAGCAATAAAATAATATTATACTAATATGTGAATGATATGCAACTAATATAAAAATCGTAAATAAAAACTCTATTATTTAGATGAGTATAAAAATAGAAGCATTTGTTTATATTTAGATATATTTTCAAAGAATTAATCTCTATATTAAAGTCAAATACTTTTTTATGACACGAATGTTATGATGAAATATATTACACTATTAGAATAAATTTGAAACATTGATAACAAACATGTATTAAATATTTGTACAAAAACAAAGGCATTCTTGAATACTAATTATTATTTAACACGACATACAGTATGTGTTAATATTATAATAATAGGCAAATTATTTATATCTCGTTTTTGCGAAAAATGCTTATATTTGATGTAATTATAAATATATTAGACTCAAACAGGATTTCTCCAAAAGTTAGCTTTGTTTAAATGAATGAATGAGACTACAATTAATGTCTACCAACGACTCGCAGCTGTATGTGCTGTATGTGCCGGGATAATCATTTTTACTTTCATTCAGTTCTCTAGTTCTAGTATATCTACAGTTGTTTTATATAACAAAAGTATGCAATTAACCCCTCATATTAATGGAACTTGCTGTTTAAAAATGGATATAAACAATTTTAACAATAATATAAAATCTGTATTTAAATCGATTAGAATTGTATTATACATTATCCTTATATAACAATAGACTATCAAATAAAGTAGTGCCACGAAATAAATAGCAATATACATTTATATTGTATTTCATTAAACAAATGACTATTCGTTTGTCTCTGTCATATCTTTGTAAACAAAAACATAATATTATACAAAAAATATAGTTACAAAGCATTTACTAATGAATTGTTTTGTTTTAATTTATTTTAATTTACTGAACAATGTTTAAAATTAGACAATAAAATTATTTAGAACATTGAATATGACAGAATAATATAATGCAAATAATGTAACTACTATATTTTTCAATATATTAATATGTACTATATTTTTATTATAAATTTATAACATAATAAATAAGACATTTATTAATGAAATACTGGGTATTTATTATAAAGAGTAAATTATCCAATAGAACATTTATCTAAAACACGGTAAATATGTTAATCAACAAAAAACTGTCAGATAGTCATGAGATTCATGGCAACGATGTTGTCTATAACAACATAAATACATAGATATAAACGCATGGAAAGAATAACATGTAATACTATAGATGCTTCTCATAGAATATTCTATATATTTCAGTTAATTTACTGGATTTCAGATCTCATTTACAATTTATAAGTGATATTTACGGTTATAATAATATGAGCTAATTTTGCTTTACATTTGCAAATCGTATTTTCTATTAATTCAACGAAATAAACAACTCATTTAATGAAATAGCTTCTGTATATTTTATTGGATATTTTAAAGTAATTTTAATTTTAGTCTAATATTCTAATATAAGCCTAATAATGTTAACTATTATTATGTATAATATATTTAAGTAGTAAATATATTTAATATTTTAGTAATATAAATTATAAAATTAATTTTAATGTGTTTCATTGCAACATTTGTTTGTGCTACATTAGTAATGTTTAAAAAGTGATGTTCTAAAACAATCATGTAACAAATATAAGTATGTAAAAGTCGATAACTTAATAATAAAATAATTATATGTTTTACTTATATAATATCAATTATATTTTGAGTAAAATAAACTGCAAAAAACGAAATAAGATATATTTATTATATCTCACACATCATAAAGATTTTATGACATTACATAATGGCTAATAGTGTTTTATAATATAAAATATGCCTTTCGTTTCAATTAAACCCAATTTTCATTGATATATTGACCAACAGATTGTCACCAAAAGTAGTCCATCAGATCAGGTGCCCAATTGTTCGCCTGTGAGCACACCGTCGCACAGTCTTATGTCGAGTCCGTCACCGGCGCCGATGTCTATTAGCTCGTCTTCATCCGGTCAATACTCAACTGGTGGTCATTATAGTCAGTCCAATAGGTCGGGCGCAGCTCAGGTGTCTTCGCCGAGTCGGGGGCCGTTCATCAACAAGATTAGGGAGAAGATGGCCTCCCATTCACACCGTGTGATTGCTTCGTTCACTAACCAATCGTCTTCATTATCCACCGATCAGTTGACCGCACATCTGACCGATGAGGAGAGGAATATACTTCAAAAGGTCTTCCAGAAAGAGGAACAGTTCCGCGAGTTTGCCCTCAAAGGGTAAGTCAAACATTCATCTTTATAATTACTAATATACAACTTTAAGAGCTTGGATCATATTTTAAAGTATAGATAATCTGGTTATCCGTAATTTAATTTTTTAAATTTGTAATTGTTTCCTAATGTAAAAAGATAATTTATCAAATATACCACTAATTATTTCTGCTTAAAGTAATTTAATTATGTAATTTAATAATAATTTAAATAGTGTATATTTATAAATGTATAAATAATCCATAATATAAATGCAATAAGAAATGGGATTTGAAATTTTGGTACAAAAACTATTATAAAATATATTTTTATTACTTGAATATACAAAAGATGCGAAAAATCAATACCTTGTGTCAGACGGAGGTCTATAAGGATTTCTGTCATACAAAAGCTTTGACATAAAAATGAAAATTTTGCGTTCAATTGCGCTCAAAGAAAATGAAACGAAAATATTATATAATAATAAAATGAGATAAAAAACATTTTCTATTAGTTCTCTGGTTTTCTGTTGAAAGAATTGTGAATTCATATGAAATATTATTTCAAATATATATATAAACTATATATTTTAGTTTTTTCTGTTGTGTTGGATATTATTTATACATTTAGTGTGCATTTTATGCATAATTTTTCGCATTACTTGTTTCACAATATGTACGCTATTTATCTTTACACTTGCTTTCGTAATAGTTACACTTGTTTTAGTTATATAATAGATTTGTGTCTTAATGTTTCAAATCCATTTTAAATGGAAAATGCTTTTTATCAAATATATAATTGTATATCTATTGAATACATGCCATAAAAATATTAGTCAAAACCATATGTTAAATACAAATTTGTGATTTATATTATTAATAAAATTTTTCATTAATCACAATATATTTGTAACGTTATAATACAAATGATATATTTATAATTTAAATTGTAGTTTAGTTAAGATGTTTTGCCAACTATTTAGGATTATAATTCCATTACACAACAAAATCACGCCCACAGAGTGAGTGAGTGAGTGAGTGTGTGTGTGTGTGAGAGAGAGAGAGAGAGAGAGAGAGAGAGAGACGTGGGAACAAAATAAAGTCAAGTATAATTTTTAAAAATGATTTGTTAAAAATAAATCTTTATTTGTTATTATTTATATTATAATTTGAAATTTATAATTTTACAATTTAGCTTAATCAATTTAATTAAACAACAACATTGACTAACATTAATTTCAATTCCAGTACACATACGACTGGATAGAGTTAGCGGGTAATTGTGCGTTAAAACTGCCATGCTGGGGATCCTTTACGGTAATATCAACAGGGTTATTTGCCATATTAAACACCACTATCGCCACCGACTTATCTGGCCGTTCAAAGGCTATGTGACCAAACTCTCCGCCGGGTATTTTACTAGCTGTCAAGTCGACCCGAACCGAATCGGGCGTGATGAATTTACTAAAATGACCTAGCACGTAGAAATTAGGATTTTTGAAGTACTGTTTGTTGGGCACATCAACCAAGAGGGGCGCGTCAGCCATTTTCCAGTCTCGGTTCGGGTGTCCGTATAAGTCTAGCGCCAGATTCCACTCCACCCAACCGCTAACCCAATGCGATAGTGTCTAGGTGGTATTTTAATAAACGTGACAATAATATTAAAATTTATTACATATAATTAGTTTGATAAAATTATCTTAATCTATAAATAAAATTATAAATAAATAAATATTAGTTTTATTGATTATTGTGAACTAGATACTATTTGCATTTCTACATAATATCATGGTGCTTATGTAATTGTACAGTATATGTAGTACATATACTGTACAATTACATAAGCACCATGATTTAAGTCTAAATAGCTACATTAAATAATCAAGTTATTATACTTACATTCATAACATTATGGGCGTAATCCTTGGCCTGATTCCAGTCGCCCAGTGATGCCGGTGTGTATGGGTCCGTGTTTTTACGGAAATTTTGACAACACTCGCTCAACAGCATAAATTGATCAGGGTGTTTGGCGTGCACCTGATCCACAGCATCGGTATTCTTGGGCAGATAGCAATGGTAGGCAACACCTTAATCAGTTTTATCAATAGATAATGTTGCTTATTATTTTATAATTTATTTATCATGTTTAAAGTTAATAATTTAATTAAAAATTATTAAGTAGACACAGTATTATTAGACATAAGTACCGGATATATATTTGGCAGTTTCGGGGTCATCGAGGGAGGTGTCCACGTAGGGTACCATCGGGTTTAGCTCGTGGCCCTCATCATACAGCATCAAGTTCAATTTGTCTTTACCGTAGCCAGCTTTAGCTAATGCGGGACCAAGATGCTTTTTTACAAAGTCGCGCTCTACTTTAGGGTCCACAAAGTTCATTGAGCTAAACGATTTGGGCTCGTTTTGCATTGTCAGGCCCCACATCTCCACCCCGTGTTGTTTATAAGCGTCCAGGAATCTAGATTTTTTGCAACAAGGTCATATTGTTACTTTTTATTTATTTATAATGTTGTGTTGTAATGCAAAAGATTTGTTTAGTTACTTGACAAAATAATTGGCCCAGGTGTGATAATGTTTATCAGGGTTCTTTTGTAAAAATTCTTTATCATTTAACCACGAGGGAGTGACCCACGGGCTGGCGAACAGCTTAAGCCCGTTTTGGGCCACAGATTTAGCCAGCTTAATTTGTGGTATCTAGAAAATTATGTAAAATCACTATTATTATTGTATATTTTTAACAAAGCAGCAGTATTCTTATGCCAATATTCAGTTAACATCATATAAAACATTGTCATCTATTGTAAATTAAATAAACACGAGTTTACCATATGTTTAAACAAATAAAATAATTATAACCATGTTTAAAAAAACAACTATATAAATTAAAACAAAACATGGTTACCTTATAATCGAGATCCTCCTGAACTAACGCAAAATGCTTGAGCTCGTAGTCATCCTCAGTCATGCCGGGGCTCTGGAGGTCGTCATAGGTATAGGTATGGGTGGAGAAGTCTGAGCTGGCAATGGGAATGCGGGCGACACTGAACTCAATACCCGTCGGTCCGAAGTAGTCATTAATAAGCCGTTTGGTCATAGGCTCGGGTAGACTACCAATGTTAATGGTGGCCGCGTCGGTGAACGCCGCGCCGATACCATTGATTTTCTGGTGCCGTTTAGTCCTGTCCACTGTTAGCACCACAGTATCCGCTTGGTCATTACTGTTTTCAGTCTTGGTGAATTGGTGTTTGATCTCTTTGAATCGATCGCCACTTTGACTGGTCTGATAGGATAGCACTGCGCCCACCGGTTGTTTTGTTAAAGGTGCTAGGTCGTCGCAGTTGGTCGAGTTGCACACACAGTATTGCGTGTTTTTACCCGCACGTCCCACGCATTGGTTTCGCCCCTCAATTGCCACTATGTAGTAAATTTATTTAATTAAGTTTATAAAAACCATAAGGTTAGATATTTAATAAATTAATGCATAAACGTTATTTACCAAAAGCAATTGATAGGCAGACAAATATTGAGAATGGTGAATTTATTCTCATGTTGATGACAATAAGTTAAATAATGTGCTAAAAGTTATTACATGGTGCGTTTAAATAAGAAAGTATTGAAGTAGTATTCATGAACACATTCCCTATGAAATGTAAGAATTCCCTCAATTTGGAAAGAATGTAATGCAATATTTTCAGAAAACTTTCTAACCTACAATATTATTTGTGAATAAATATTATTCAACAATAAATTCAAATGTTTCAAAAAGTAAATTACACTATAAAATGCCTCCGACCATAAACTACATGATGAATTAGCGTAAAAATAATTATGGTACAATTTAATTTTATAAAGATTCCCTAAAACTACTCTATCTGAAATCAAGCTTTAAGTGCATACCGGTTGAGAAATGTACCATATTTGTTTTATAGACCCCACGGATCTTTTAATCTAGATTCTAAATGCATAAACAAGGACATTTTATCATAGTTAGTATTTTGCACTACAGTTACATACACTCGATTCACTCAATGTTCTACATGTAAATGTATTTTATATTTAAAAATAGTTTTGTGTGCGTAGAAAGTATTCGTGTAATGATAAATACATTTATCACTATTTAAAATATGGTGCATATGAACGTGGCGAATATTTTGCACCTGGTTAAATAATTTTTAAGTATGCTATACTTTATCATATATTATTTATATTATTGATAATACAATACAATATATTCATTAATAATTAATTTCCATAAAAGTATTCCACGAATACTTACCAATTAATCAAAGTATTATAATTAATTACTATCATGTAAATCTGTTGCTCACGTTATTATATCTGGTATTATATAAATTTAAAACATATGCAAACAATTTTAAAAACACATTTCTTTGTCAATGAATTTATTTTAATATAACTATTAATCAGTAAAATAAAATTTTAACATGGTAGTAAGGATAGTAATTGTTGTACTATTTATTGAGTTATGCAACGGCGCTTCAAACAATTTCTTGTTGGATTCCAACTGTACATTCGCCATAACCAACTGACAGTGAGCGAATAGGTTTTTACACAACCACCTAGCGCTAATAACCAGGCCCATATTAGTTGGTCCAATTTCAATGGCATTTCATTCATTAGCATTGCATTTACATTCCGTGTATGAGCTATAGTGCCGACTCTCATGGGTCACATCCACGCGACAATCAACAGGACCTGTTGAGCACGTGATTACATATCGCCCGAGGCCTAGTTATATTAAGATAATTAACGTAGCTTAATTAAAATAGTTGATTGATATAACGTTATAAAACATACAATAATTTGTGACGAAAGAACGGCCATAGCCATCGTTTGGCCAAAAATCCAGGTGCCCTGCGTTTACACTAGCTATAATTTAGTGTATGACGTCCACGAATTTAGCCTGGTTAGAATAAAACTCGTTATAATTATCATCTAGTTCACATTAAAAGTTACGTACATCTGTAGAATTTAGTTTGTCTACAGCGTGCATATCGTTAGACTCAGGACCTAATTAGAAAGGTGATTTAATTATAAAAATTATTATTTTGTCACATATTGTCACCAAAAAAACCAGTCAAGATTATTTTAGTCACATACCCGCTGGATCTAGACCTGTTATGCGGCCGATCTGGCATACGAACCCGCACACATAGGCTCTAACGAATGTCCTATTATCATATAATAGGCACTTTTGGCACCATATGAAAAGCCGTTGCATAACCCAATAAATAGTACTACAATTACTACCCTTACTACCATGTTAAAATTTTATTTTACTGATTACTAGTTATATTAAAATAAATTCACTGACAAAGAAATTTCTTTAATAAAAATTGTTTTGCATACGTTCGAATTTATATAGTTTTGTTGCTCAAATACAATTACGTAGACAACAGATTTTTGCATCATGGTGATTAATTATAATACTTTGATTAATATGTAAATATACGTTCAATAAACACAGGTTTCGTGGAATATATTTATGGTAATTAATTATGACTACATAAACAACTATATTTATGGATTAAACAGTGAAATATTTAAATGAATATTTCATTTAAACTAAATTTTCAAACTTTAGGCTAGATTTTTATAAAAGTGTGAAATTTTTATGTTTTTAGTTAAGAAATTGCAACTAAATTCTAACGCGGCGAATAGTTTGCCCCTGGTGAAATGGTTTTTAAGTAACAGTAGTTATAACAGCCCTATTTTCATAAAAGTATTCTACCAAACTTTGCTACAAAACTTATATTTACAAATTAAGCAATGTATTATAATTAATTATCATGATGTAAATCTGCTGCATACGTAATTATATTTTATCTGTTATTATATAAAATTAAAACAATTTTTAAAACACATTTCTTTGTCAATGAATTTATTTTAATATAACTATTAATCAGTAAAATACAATTTTAACATGGTAGTAAGGGTAGTAATTGTTGTACTATTTATTGAGTTATGCAACGGCGCTTCATATGGTGCCAAACAATTTCTTGATAGATTCCAACTGTACACTCGCCATAACCCACTGAACGGACAGGGTTTTACACAGCCACCTAGCGCTAATAACCTGGTCGATAATAGTTGGTCCAATTTCAATGGCATTTTATTTAGCATTGCATTTACATTCCGTGTATGAGCTATAGTGCTGACTCTCATTGGCCACATCCACGCAACAATCAACAGGAGCTGTTGATTACATGTCGCCCGAGGCCTAGTTATATTAAGATAATTAACGTAGCTTAATTAAAATAGTTAAATGATATAACTTTGTAAAACATACAATGATTTGTGACGAAAGGATGGCTATAGCCATCGTTTGGCCAAAAGTCTAGGTGCCCTACGTTTTTGATTATGCCCAAGCTCAAATTTAAGACTTTCTTGTTATAAGTTATAACTTATAACTTATGAAGTCTACAAATTCAGCCTAGTTAGAATTATAGCTTGTTATAATTATCATTTAGTTCACATTAAAAGTTACTCACATCTGTAGAATTAAGTCTGTCTACAGAGGGCATATCGTTAAACAGAGGAGCTAATTAGAAAGGTGATTTAATTATAAAAAGTATTATTTTAGCACATTTTGTCTCAAAAAATGCAAATCAGTCAAGATTATTTTAATGACATACCCGCTGGATCTAGACCTGTTATGCGGCCGATCTGGCCGCTAAAGGTTTGCCATCAAACCCCGCTATATGTGCTCCTAAAGAATGTCCTATTAGATGATATAATAGGCACTTTTGGTACCGTCTAAATTGCCGTTGCATAACCCAATAAATAGTACTACAATTACTACCCTTACTACCATGTTAAAATTTTATTTTACTGATTAATAGTTATATTAAAATAAATTCACTGACAAAGAAATTTCTTGAATAAAAATTGTTTTGCATTTGTTCAAGTTTATATAGTTTTGTTGCTCAAATACATTTACGTAGATAGCAGATTTTTGCATCATGGTGATTAATTATAATACTTTGATCAATATCCGTGTTTTGTAACACAGTTTCTTGGAATATTTTTATGGTAATTAATTATTAATAAATATATTGTATGACCATATATAAAATTTGATTAATTATTATTACATAATATGTATTATGCAACTATGCAAATAGGTAGTATGTAGGTATGAATATTTCAGTGAAATATTCAAATGAATCTTTCATTTAAGTTAAATTTTGAAACTTTAGCCTAAATTTTTATAAAAATGTAAAATTTTTATGTTTTTAATTAGATAATTTTAATTAGCTAAATTATATGATCAACATATTAACCATCACTGTTAAATGAATGAGCAATTTAAAAAATAATATTTTGGCACTGTTAAGAAATAAAATAATAATTTTGTACCATATGTTATTTAAATTTTTACCAGTTATCTGTATTTTTACGCATTATAATTTACCTGTAATAATTTAATGTCAAACATTATATTTAGCGTAAATGTAAAATTAATTTAAATACAACATGTAACCAATTAAAACTATATATTAAAATTTACATAAATTGTACATAACGTGTGAACTATTGTTTTTTTTTGCACCAACATTGCAGAGAACTACAGCCCAACACCAGACAAGTAGTGTCCACTTCTTCGCTGATGTGTCCGGCGATGGTCTCGATGTCGAACGGTATGAGCGCTCATACGATCAGAACGAAGAGTTGGGCTTAAATGACATCAAGACTGAGAACTATAGCTGAAAGTTGTGGTCATTTTTGTGTTGTTGTAAATTATTATTAAATATTTTTAGAAATTGTTTTTGAAATTGTAATTAACATTGATTTGGATTTATTAATATCTTATCAATTAATGCATACATTGTTTTTCGCCACCAATTGTTACGTTCAATAAATTGGAAATTTAATTTAATTTTTTGCAATTTCTAAGTGAAACCTAACGGTCAGTATTTAATGATTAGCCAATAGATAGCAGTAAAGGCTCAATAAGTGCAACACTTTTGACTGAAACCTAAAGTTGTGTGAAATGTAAACAAAAGTGTTGTTTGAATTATAAACACGTGTTTTAATTGAATTAACATTTTGTTAATCATTTTGTTGTAAAACAATGTCTCAAACCTATAGTAGGGATAGTTTTGACAGATTTGGTGACGATTTGTGCGAAGAGTTGTTGTCTTTCCTCACATTTGAAGACCGATTCCGTTGTGAATGTCTATCAAAACAGTGGCGAAGACTTGNGAGTTGTTGTCTTTCCTCACATTTGAAGACCGATTCCGTTGTGAATGTCTATCAAAACAGTGGCGAAGACTTGTATTCAATACACAAACAGAGATTCCTTACGATAGAGACAATCAATGGTCCGATTTGTCAACATTTGAGATGGTATTAAAGAAGTGCCAAAATATCACTCATTTGTGTCACTCAATCAGATATAGGTTTGGGAGTCATATAACGGATCCAAAGCTGGAGTTAGTTATAAAACATTGCCATAAATTGCAATCAATTGATATCAGTTTCGATGAAATTAGTGTTGAAATGATTGATAAGTTTTTCGCAAAGTTTGCCAAACAATTAAAATCAATCAAATGTTACACAAATGATAATCAGTTAATACAGGCGTCGATCGCGAAGAATATGAAGAATTGCCAGAATTTGCTTAAATTTCACATCAATTTCATAACTGCAACCGATTCTGAGTTTTCTCACATAATTAGTGATGAAAATGAAGTTTACTTTAAAAAGATGTTTGACTTTCACTTGACGTATAGACTCGAAGACATGACAAGAATCGCTGCATTTGTTAATTACTATAGAAATACATTGAAATCAATTGTTATAGAGATCCACAACTCGTGTGACAAGAGATCCATTGATGTATTATTCAAGGGTTTGTCGCAAATGCGAGAAATGAGACAATTTTACGTTTATTTTGATGGAGACGATGAAACACTGGAAATGTCGGCATTGAATGCAATGAAACAAATTGGTGTCAATTGTCGTAAACTACGGAAATTAAGTCTTGATATGGCAGCGAATCCGTCGTTTACAATGTCCGGTATTATCAACAAATACTTTACACAAATACAACGACTAGAGATGTGGTCAGAGATACCGGAAGACAAACCGCAAGACATTGACATAACGTGTGGACTATTGTCTGAATGCAAACGTATAACACATTTAAAGATAATTGCAGTCAAAGATAAC